AGGCACTTTCACACACTTCTGGGTAAACATTATCATCCCTAGTTTTCACCTGAGAAAGTTCTAGATCAAAGCAGTCAGGAAACAGCTTGCTTCTATCTTCACCTGAACTCCCGTGGGCACTTTTATTACCTCAAGCTCAGCATCTCAAACTTGAGTGTGTCCTGGAATCTTTCAGAGGGCTTGTTAGAACACAGTCTGCTAGACATAGCCTCCAGAATGTCTGATTCCACAGACCTGAGGTTGGGCCCAAGGATGTGCATTTCTAACAAGTTCCCAAGTAATGGAAAGACTGCTGGTTTAAGGCCATGCTCTGGGAACCACTGGCCAGTGGCAACAAAAACTTAGCCCACAGAATAGCAAACTGCGATTCCCTTTAAAATCACTGAGAACTGTTTCAGAATAAATGTGATGTCTGGGTAGCATGCCCATGCATCTAATTTAACTGATAGATGGTGTTCTGGGCACCATTGCTTTTAAAAGTTCCCCAGATAAGACTAGCACACAGCCAAGTCTGGGACCCACTAACATAGCCACATCTCCCTTTCATTTTTATTACCATTGTCCACTCCAGCTGTCCATTACTGAGGCCACAGATAACTGCCACTGACCAGTACCACTCACAGCGTCTCATCCACATTTTACTTCCTTGTCTCAGAACATTTGCTACAACTTCCCAAGTCTCTTACTTGCCTCCTTTTTTCTTCCATTCCTTCATCTCTTTCCCCCATCAACCCAGACTCTGTGCTACAGTAAGTGCAGTTGAAGACCTTGAGGGCCATCTAAATCAAACTAAAGGAAGAGAACTTTCTGGAACTAATGCTTGGCCTTTCTTGCCGTTAGTAGAAGCTAACAGGTTTTTTTAAACCACTACTTTTTTGTTTTAACACAAGTATGTACTTAAAGAAACACTTAGAAAAGCATAAAGAAGAAGTAGAAAATAGCATTAATTTAATTATCTAGGTCTCACTGTTGGTAAGCTTTTGCTGAGTTTTTGTCCTTTTTTATGTGTATCATCTTACCTAGTTGAGAGCATGCTACATAAATAAGCGTATATCTTGATATAATAATTAATTACATAAAATTAAATTGTCACCATTAAAATGTACTTAGTATTAAATATGTGTGTTGTGATTTGAAAACAAGGTCTCACAGAGTAGCCCAGGCTGGCCTGGAACTCACTCTGTAGTCTAGGATAGCCTTGAACTTCTACAGTCTTCCTCCCCTAAGTTCCTGGGTGCTGAGATAATGAGCAGGATTTCCCACACCAGACTTGTAAATATTTTAATGGCAGCAAAAATTTTCATCATGTGGCTACCATATTGTTTGTTTAATTGTTCCCATGCCAGAAGAAATGTGACAGTGGGGTTACTTTTATAAATGATGCTACAAGGCATGTGTTTTTTATGAACTTGGGTTCTGTCCATGATTTTTCACACAATCCCCGGAAAGTAACAGAAGAAACAATGTAAAACCTTCAGACTTATTACAACTGGCAAATTATTTTCAAACCTTTTTCTCCTTGTAACATCTTGGGTGTGAAGGAACACATACTGCCTCTTCTTTTGCCAAGCCCTTGGTGTTTTGCTTGGTGCCACCAAGGATTGCCAGTCTGGGAGTGACATGGTCAGCTGTGCATTTATAACCCTGAATGCTGGAAGTTGAACAAGTTGGAACTGATGTGTCGTTGTCCTTGCTGCCCTACCCCTTGCTTCCACATTCTCCCCCTCCATTTTCCCACATCACATCTTCCTTCTTTCCTAGAATGCAAATGTTAGGTGATTGGTGTTCTCACCTGCATGCACAAAGCCTTGTCACCAAAAAATAGAAAGAGCAGGGCTGGAAGGCCTGGCTCGCAGGCTACACAAACTTGTGCCTGGCCCAAAGATCTCTTCCTCTCGTTTTGGACAAGTTTCTGAATAATAATAATAATAGTAATAATAATAATAAATCATAACAATAATAAATCTCTAGGGAAAACTACCATATACTATAGTTCCATGAAATCTCTAAGTGGGTTTATTGCTGAATTAACTTTTCCCTCTGACCTGTGTCTGTCAACCCCATATAGTATATGACCTTCTCTGTCCCTGGAATGTTCTCCTATCTTCCTCTCTCCCAACTGCAAAAAAAAAAAAAAAAGAGCTTGGCATTCAGCAATCTTGGTGTGTTTTACACACCCACCTCCTGTGCCTTTCCCGCTCAGCACTAGCTACTTAGACATTTCTGATCTCAAGGTTCAATTTGAGCATCTTCTTCACCAAATTCTGTTTCTCCTTCTTAGACAAGACTCCTTCAGCAACAAAATACTTTATATTGCCTGTTCCTAATATAGGCACTAGAACATTGTTGCTAACTCAGTAGCAATTCTGTGACTGAGCAAATGAATCCTGCTTGACTAAGGTGCACAGCTATTCTATCTTAAACATTAATGAGTGGAAAAGTATAATATGATCATGACACAATTGCCAAACTGACTCTAAATCATTGGTACCCATGGTAAAACAGACACCTGGTATACCAGATATCCCAAACCTGGATTCTGTGTTCTAAACACAGAATCTAAACATTCACTGTTGTTTGTGCCTAGACATTGACTTACATTCTGTTCTCCTTCATTTTAGTAAGAACTTAATGTATACATAAGTATCTCTGTGGTAGAGGAACGAAAGAGGGGTTAGGTGATGACTGAACTCTTTTCAAGTGGGACACAAAGAAAACTGAAACTATGGGCTATTTATAGTTATCACACAAAAGAAGGCTTTTGATGTTTAGTTACTTTAGGAAAGAATGTAAAATGGATTTCTTTAAGATGGTCTCAGTAGGCTTTCTAGAATGTTGAAAGATAATTAGGCAACAGTAGAGACGGCAAAAAGCAGCTAAGTTCCTGGAGTCAGGGGTCAGGGTTAGGGTTATTGCTAGGATGACAGACAGGAGTCACCTTTGTTACTCCTGAGAAGAGAGAATACATATTAAAAATGAGATGGCAAAAGGGTAATAAGCCCCTAGCCCCTACCCCTGCATACATCTCCTCAGTCCCACATCTGTGCCAGCCCCTCCCCCACCTGCCCACTCCTGCTGGTGAGATCAGCCTTCATTACAGCTCTTCTAGAGCCAGGAAGCAAGGTAATGTGTGGGAAGTGATAGCTGCAAGGTAATGTGTGGGAAGTGATAACAACTTTAAAGCCATTCAACGGGAAAATTTGTTAAAAGACAGAGACATTGTAAAGCTGAAACACTTGAGTCTATTAAGTCCCCTGCTTCTTAGAACATTTTGTTACCAGGGCATGTTTCAAGGAGGGAAAACACTGAACCATTGAGCTCTGTCAGATACCAAAGCCTGGTACAAAGAGCAACATTTTCTAAGGTATCTGCTTCTGCCCTAAGCAGAGGCACTTTTAAAAAGTTGTGTCTTTATTTTCTTGTCTTCTCTCCTATCACAACACAGCTCCCCTGACCTCCTCATCCCTGGAAGTACTCTCCTTCCTCCTCATCTTCTGCATCCTCTTCTATTGCTTCCTCTCTCCCTGCCTCCCCTACCTCCCATAGCCTGTTCTGTTTTCATGGACACTATTAAACCAGCACAATAAGCTAAGACTCTGCAATGATTATTCAACCCTCTATGGTAAGGGAACTAATTAAGTGACTGGAGATTTAGACATTCGTTGTTGATTAGCTCCAAACTCCTTCAGAGAGCCTGGAGCGTTCTCCTAAACAAACCTTAACCTTTTATGGCTTATTGTCCCAAGTCCAAGTGAGATGGAGTGCTTAAGAAGACAGTATCTTTTCAGAGAAGTGAAGAAAGGGAAATTTAAGGAGGAGAGTCGAGTGTGTGGATGGGTGCAGCAGGGGGAAGCTGTGTGCTTTCCACAGATGGATTCTTCTCGTGTATCTCTTGGCAGCTACTGTCTCTCAATGGTCATCCGTTTAGACTTCAGTGCTGTCATGTTCACGGTCAGTCCAGTGCTTTGGTTAACTGCCTCCATTAGATACACACTCATCAATGGAGTGTTTTTTAGGTAACCATCTTCTAAACAAAAGAATAACTATTTTTTCACTGATCTTAGCCCATCTTTAGAGGACAGACCATTTGATGAACAAACCAAAAGTCTTGACGCAGTTTTCCTCACTTGTGGCTATTAATGGAACAGCAGTAACTAGCCTCAATCTGAGAAAACGTACTCTTGCTCTGCTAGCAAAGGGAATCGACTGTTCTTTAAATTCTACATCGTAGTTTTGCACAAACAGTTGCATTTTAGAGTGAGTATTGGACCCGGTACCCAACATTACCCCTGCCATCACTCTCACAGTGGAAAAGGGAGGCAAAAATCCAAGCAAAATGGATCACTCTTCCCAGACTAGAAACCAGAAGCCATTGCCACCATTGCAGGCCATTGATGCTGTGATGCACATCCTGGGATCCATGTTTTTCTACCTTCTTTTCCACTGTGAGCCACAGTGGTCTGATGCAGGTCGTGGGGTATGCTGAAGAAGGCTCCTGGCCTTCCTCAGTATGTCCATGGAGGATGGTTCACTAGCAGCTAAGCACAGGCCAAATCAGAAGCTAACTAACCATCAGTCATCATTAGCAGAGCCAACATGTTGCTCTGACATTAAGAATAGTTATAGACTCATCAACATTCCTTCTTATTCTAGTCCCAAACCAATATGTCTCTAGCAGCGAGGTGGGTGTATTTCAGAAACAGCTGGTTTGTCACTTAGGATATTATATATTTGAAGAGGCTTCTTGATGTCAGCCTATTCGCTGGATACATATTAATCTTCTAAATTAAAGATTGATTTAAAAAACCCTATAACTTGGCTTCCACTCACAAAAAGGTGTATCTATTTCTTTTTTGAGAAAAATGTCTGGCTCAGTAAATGAAAACACTCTTGGTGGAAGATGACAGATAGACTGGGTTGGCCACCATAGGACCAGAACTTCTGGACAAACTGTGCTGAGTGAAAGAGAAGAATGTGCAGTCTTTGTTTTCACTCTGCAGACCTCAGCGACCAGCTCCTTGAAGTGGTGGGTCTAGAAGGAGCCATGGAAATGGGACAGATATACACTGGCTTGAAGAGTGCCGGAAGAAGGCTGGCCCAGTGCTCCTCTGTCACCATTAGGTAAGTCTCCTGTTGAGCAGCATCTTCAGGTCTCCCTACCTCCTTGAACTTTCAGGCAGATAATAAGCTAACTAGGAGCTACCTTTAGGCTTTAGGCTATGGCAAATTGGTGAAAGAAACTTGACAGTATCTATAAAGAATACTTTAACCATATTCTTTAATTGTTACTACATATGTATTTTTCCCAAATATCTGCTCGGGCCATATGGCTATTTGTATGTACGTGATTTCAGGGATGACCACTTGGTATTGGATAACCAATCGGTGTGCCCTTCCCTAGGGGACTATTTCTCCTGCTCTTAGCATTCCTTGCCTGCAGTTCTTGGTGTAGGGTTGATACCCCGTGAGTTTCCCCCTACCCTTCCCCACCCCCATCCATAATAGAGCATCTATTGGTGTCATCTTGTTTAGGCAGAGGTTTCATGGGTGTAGCTTCTCTGTCATTTCCAAGAGACATGATCTCCACAGCAAACTCCCTACCTCTCTCTTATAATTATTCTGTCTCCTCTCCTGCTGTGACCCCTGAGCCTCAGGTGGAGGAGTTGTGTCAGGGCTATTATTTTTCAACAGGATATAATGTTATCATCAACTAGAGGTCCATCATAACCTATCCTCTTAAAATACCCGGTGACATAAGCAATACATACAATAAAGTCCAGGGCACCAGGGGTCTAATTCTTTTGTCTTTTTCTCTTTATAATTGTAAAACATTAGATGCATGCCAGGGGTCACCTGCTCCTCTGTATGCGGGATATCTTCATATGTTCAACCATAAACATCAATGAACTTCTTGTGCAGTTTTGTTTTTTTTGTTTGGCGGGGACATGGATGACACAGCCAGCTGCTGCAGTCTGGGTACCGTGGGGTCTGATAAAGTTCCTCCAATTGCAGCTCCCTCTAGTTACATTTTTCCCCTCAGCTTCTTACCCAACATGGCTGTTTCAGATGTCTTCATTCCTTTCCTTTTTCTCTCTTGTTCCAGATCGTATCTGTTGGCTTGCCTTGGGGATCTCCTAGAAGGGCTATGGGGCAAAGGGTTTCCCAGAGGCATTTGACTAAAGAAGGCTTTCTCCCAGAAACCCTTGGGCAGGTGTCAGCAGAAGCACAGTTGAGGAATGCGTTCTCGTTCTAGGTCCTTCCATCATCCCACAGTGGTCCCCCGAGGGTCTGCTCCACTAACCCTTTGTCATTTCCTATCTATGGATCATCTGTTCCTTCTGTTTCCAACACCACACACTCCTCCCCCCGCCTTTCTTTGGGAGCCATCACTGTGATAGGACCCTTGTTTTCCAGACCAGCCTCAGCAGCCCTTGCCCAGAGCACTAATACTTATGGGACAGTTTGTCCGTAGAGTATCACAGCTGTAGCTTTTGTAGATTACAGAGAACACAGTGTCCTGACTGCCGGTGAGTCTGAGGACTTAAGTATGAGGGGAACTGTTTCCAGCAGTCACCAGCTCTGTTTCCAGATGGAGCAGGGGTGAGCTAAAAGCCCCACTCCTGAGATACTTCTCTATCCCTAAATGTGCAAAGGCCTCTTTTCTGCTGATATGTTGTTTTTATTATTAGATTTATTGCTTTTATTATGAAATAGACTCAGAATCCACCAGAGAATTGTTGTATCAAAATCATGCTTTCCCTGCCCATTTTGGAGTTTCAGAAATAGGGAAGCTACCAAGCTCAGGTAAGGGCTTCCTGTCCAGTGGGTGGTGACTGTTCACATGCCCCTGGCCAGAGGACTAACTTCCTCCCAAGGCATCAGAGGACAAGTTAGAGTCTACAAAGCCCATATTGTGGAAAAAAAGCCTTTCCCAAGCAAGAGGGCAACACTTTCTCACTACTCCTCCTACACTTAGGGTCACTGTTCCTAGATGTCACTATCCCAGCACAACCACAATGCATACTAAACCATAGTATCCTGCCTCTTGGAGTTGAGTGCTTGTGGTGATAACCTCTGTAGCTCAGAGACATTACCTCTTGGATATGTTGCAACCACTCATTCAGTCAGGAGTGCAGGCCTCTTCCTACTCCAGAGCAGAGCTTAGCATGAGCTGCTTTCCCCTCTGGCTGGTTGCTGGGACTGCTCAGCAGTGGGGCTGCCATGTTTGCTGGCCAGTTTTCCTGATGGCTGTGGCTTTCAGTGTGCCCATGACAGTTTCTCCAAGTGGAGTCTAAAGACTGAAGCCGGGGAAATTCCTATAATAACTATTAAAGCACAGATTCCCAGACCTGCACCCAGGCCTGCCAAGACCAGTCCCTGAGATAGGCTGAAGATTGTTTTCAGCAAAGTTCCCTTGGTCTCAATGAACCTTTCCTAAGTGAGCAAGTGAGGTCTTCCCATTCTCTCTCTTTGTTGGGAGTGATGATGACTCTCCAAGTCTGAAGGCCTCACTGCTGTTTTTTGCTTTGGGGGTTCCAGGACTAACAAGCTTCTGCCAATGCAAGTAGATGGAGAGCCCTGGATGCAGCCACGTTGCACGGTAAGTTTGCTGGTCTTGGAGGTGAGCATGAGAAGTGTGATTTTGTTTTACCTCTTGAAGACACTAACTTGATATAAAATCACTGCACCCCAGAAGATTGTCTAAATAGTCCCTTTACAGTTTGTTCTGAGACTTCATCCATGGTGCCCTAACAGCCTCAACTTGAACCTACCCAAATGGCAGCCTCTAAAGTAAGACTGTCCGGATACTGGAGAGCACTTCCTTATCTGGAAGCTAAGCCTACACACCCCAAATACTATCCAGTACATAGACACACTTTCCTTGGTATACCCACAGCCTTGAGAACCTCCCTGGAAACTCCACAGAAAAGACAGGTTGGTTATCTGCTTTGATATGGCACCAGAGCACCAAACATGGTACCAGACTTGTAATGACAACTCTCGAATGCCATCAGCAAATGAATGAAGGACATGGAACAGGGAACGTATAGTTGTACGGGCTGAGGCAGGAGGATTTATGAGTTCAAGGCTAACCTGAGCTACAGTAAGTTCAAGACTGACCAGGGTTACATAGAGAGACCCTGCCTCAATAACAGGGACCAGAGAGACAGATGAGCAGTTAAGAGCTGTTCTTGCACAGAACCAAGGTTCAGTGCCCAGCACCCACTTCAGGCAACTCTGACTGCCTCTAACTCCAGTTCCACGATGTTGTGGAATAATCTTTTTGTACACTGTGAACATGTGTCACTGTGAGTAGTTTAATAAAAAAAAACTAAACAGCCAATAGCTGGGCAGGATTTCCAGGCAGAGAGGAAGCTGGGAAGAAGAAGAACATGGAGTCACCAGTGGACACAGAGGGAACAGACAAGCAGGAGGAGAGGTGAAAGCCACGATCACGTGACAGTCCATAGATGAACAGAAATGGGTTAATTTAAGTTATAAGAGCCAGTTAGAAACAAACTTCAGCTATTGGCTGAGCTTCCATAATTAATGTCTCCGTGCCATTATTGGGGGCACCGATGATCCTGCCAAAAAAAAGTCCAATTACACCTATGGGATCTGACATCCTTTAACCTCCCCAGACACCTGCAGGCTGTGCTGCACATAAACTCATGTAGGTACACACATGCATGTGAACAAAAATATAAAATAAATACAACCCATCCTTTCTAGCTGTGCCTACATTAGTTCCAGTCAGTGCTGCTATGAGAATTCGGTCTCCTCACTTATTGTTCCCCCCTTCAGAGCCCCGCTGGGAACGCTATGGTAAAGAAAAAGCATTGTCCTGGTTTCAGGGCATCCACTGGGGTACTTCATGAGTGAAGCCCCCAATATGACAGCAAATATGTAATCTCAAAAGAGATGGAAGTCTTTCTGAGCATCTCCCTCTCTCCCTCAATTGTATTCTCTGTAGCAACCCCTCAAATATCAAGCTCTCTTTTGTGTTTTTTTTAAATGCCTGAAGTGACATCTTCTACAAAGGTCAAAGGTAGAAATTTCTTTGCAAATTCTTGCCATAACCTTATGGAAGAGTTAAAAAAAAAGGGGGGGGACCAAAAACACACTGTAACAAAAACTAGAAATAGGAGCTGGTGAAATGGCCAAGTAGGTAAAGGCTGTTCCTGCCAGCCAATCATCAGGACCCACATGGTAAAAAGAGAGAATTAACCTCAGAAGGCAACATGCCAGGGGCACCCACACACAAAATTCTGTCTCTGTCTCTCAGGTGTAATAAAAATATTTTTAAAAAACTAATAATAGCTGGGTGTTGGTGGCACAGGCCTTTAATCCCAGAACTAGAGAGGCAGAGGCAGGTGGATCTCTGTGAGTTCAAGGCCAGCCTGGTCTAAGAAGCTACAAAGAGAGACTCTGTCTTGAAAAACTGAGGGGGTGGCAGGTGGGCTAGGGCACTTTGGTGATAGTCAGCATTTCTGCTCTTGCAGAGGACTCTCAGTTAGGGTCCCACCCATGTCAGGTGGCCCAGGACTGTCTATAACTCCAACTTCCAGGAAATTCAACAGTTTCCTTGGATGCCTGTACTCAGGTGCGCTCGTGTGCGCACACACACGCACACACACACACACACACACACTCACACACACACACTCACACACGCACGCACACATGCACGCACGCACTCGAGGGCATGGGTAATTAAAATGAGGCGTTGGTTTTTTTAAAAAATGTCTGGAAGAAATGAAATGCTTTTCTTTCCCCCATGGCTCAATGATATCTAAGGACAAAGGCTGCCATTCATTTAAGTTCAAACACTGAAATTTTTTTAAATAGGTAAATCCTTCCCACATCCTCACACAGTGTTACTCTTCAAAAGCTACAACTCACTGTGAAAAATACTGAGTACAGAATCTCATATGTAAAGATGTATTAGCCTGGATGTAACAAAGAATCAGAGTGGCAAGCTGGGAGGGGATGCTTTGGGTTGGTTTGGTTTCCCTCTGAGGACTAAGCTCAGGGCCTTGAACGTGCAGGGTGAGGGTCCTAGCACTAAGCTAAGCCCAGCAAGGTGAGGGTCCTACCATTGAGCTACACCCAGCCTCTGGGTTTGTTTGTTAGTTTGTTTTTTGAGATAAGGGCCTTCTGTGTAGGTCAGGTTGATTACCTCTGCCTCCAGAGGGTTCTAGGCATAGGCTGCCCACAAAACCATGTCAATCCCACACTGGTGATTTAAAAACCGAAGTGTGTTTTGTATCCCTTTGGGAGGCCAGAACCCAAAATCTAAGTCTAAGCAGGGCTGGTTTCTGGTGGGGCTGAGTCCGTCAAACCAGTGTCCCTGTACAAAGAGGAAGAGACACAAGAGCATACACACAAAAGAACAGCCTTGAAAGGACACAGTGGGAAGGCAGTTGGCTGCAAGTTAGATGTTTCTTAAAAGATACACCTAAAACAAAAGGATGCATACTGTATATAATATATATGTTGTAGGTGAATTTTTCTGTCTCTCCAGCAAGCTCCCAAAAAACCACCTGGAAACTACTTATTAATTATGAAGGTTTAGCTGATTGCTGAGACTTGTTTCTAACTAGCTCTTGCAACTTAAATTCCCCTATTTCTATTAATTTATGTGCTGCGGCATGGCTTATGGCTGTTACCCCTCCTCTTGCACGTCCTGCTTCCTCTGCATCTCATGGCGTCTCATTGAGACTCCACCTTTCTCCTTCTTTCCAGCATCCTCTCTGCCCTGACAACCCTGCCTAGCTAGTGCCTGCTCAGCTTTTTATTAAACCAATCCGAATGACAAAACAATTGAAAAAAGAATAAAAGACAAAGTAAATAACTATAAACATAGTAAAATCTAGGACTGGTTTTTTTCAACAAGGCAAGTGTTTGAAAAATCTCATTTTAGAAGAGAAAATCTGGTATTCAGAATATTAAAGTGTGTAAAAAAACTAGCAAATGTAATATAGTCTTAATATATGTGAGCAATGGCATTATTTAACTGTAAAACAATATGTAATTTTGATTCTGATGAACTCAAACAAAAAATGAAGGAAATCCAGCCACTAATGAAACAGAAAATGCATTCAAAGGCTCATATACAAAGTGATCGCAAAACAGATGAACTTAGCTGGGAGGGGGCACATGAGGCCCTGAGGATCTATATACAGTTTTATAGTTTCCAGTGTGAGGCAAGACATTTTCTTCCATGGTGTAATTGATGGTAAGTTGCTACTATCGTTCTACTGAGACCCAATGTCCAACAAAACAAAAGTAGAAGGTAAACTAGTTAGACAAAGATCAGTGAGACTGGGAGAGGACGGGAGTTGTGGGGTGAATATATATTGTGGGGAAAGTATATTATACATATATGGAAATGTCATAATGAGGGGCTGGGGACAGGAGTCAGTCAGGAAAGTGCCTGCTGTACAGCATCAGGACCTGAGTTTAAATCCCTGGCACCTATGTAAAACGTGGCATCGTCATACATGTCTGTAGTTCTGATGCTGGGGAATCAGAGACAAGTGGACCCCTGGAACTCTCTGTCCAGCCAGCCAGCTAACCAATAAGCTGTGGACTCAGGGACAGACTCTGTCTAACAAGATAAGATAGGGGATGATACAAAATACCTGATACCAACCTTGGGCCTCCACAAGCATAAATGCACATATGAATACACATGTGTACTATACATCACACATACACATATATCCCATGTACACAAAAGAACTGAAGTGACTGAAAAAATTATACATAAAAATAGAAACCGTAGAGCAATATGACTAGGATATGAATATGATATGAAAATTCAAGCCAACATATAGGTAGGTCAGTAAAATATATTGAAAGGATCATTCAACCCCTAGGTCATGTCATAGGAATGAAAACAGAAACATGCTATCACTGGTTTAGAGAAAAGTAACATGATGATATAAATAAACGATCAAAAGTATTCAATACTTTTAAGATTAATTATAATTTTAATTATGTGTATGTGTGTATCTGTGTGTGTATATATGCATATGAGTACAGGTGCCCAAACAGGCCAGAAGAGAGCATTGGAGCCCCTGGGGTTCAAGTTCAGGTGGTTGTGAGCTGCCCAGTGTGGGTGCTGGGAACTGAACTGGGATCCCATGGAAGAACAAGAAGCCTTCGCTTCAACCCAGCATTTTTTTTTCTTTTGCTTGTTTGCTCATTTATTTTGTCTTGTCTTGTTTTGAGACAAAGTCTCCCTGTGTATCCATGGCTGACCCAGAACTTCTCTGTAGACCAGGCTGGCCTCAAACTTACAGAGATCAGCCTGCCTCTACCTCCTAAGTGCTTGGATTAAAGGTGTGAATGGCCATTCCTAGAAAACATGTCTTAATTTTATAGAGATTCAGAGAATGCTATGACTGCTGGGCGGTGGTGGTGCACATCTTTAATCCCAGCACTCAGGAGGCAGAGGCAGGAGGATCTCTGAGTTTGAGGTCCGCCTGGTCTACAGATCAAGATCCAGGACAGCTAGACATATACAGAAAGCCCTTGTCTCAAAAAAAAAAAAAAAAGGTTACTAGAAAGAAACTCTCAAAATAATGAAAATTT